GTAGGGAAACTAGGATTTTACTGTTTTTCTTTATAATGTTAAGAGCAGCCTAGCAAGGTTGATTTCAAGAAGGTTTCACTGTACTTAATGAGAGATTGCACCTGTGGAATCTGACACCTAAATGAGAAGTTTAAACAATCTTTTGAATACTTTCAAATGCTAATTTTAATTTCTCAGCTCTTCATAAAAGAGAAACAAGAAAAGCTTGTGAAACCAAGAAAACTCTTTTTAAGCATGTTGTATCTTTCAGTATGTTTTTATAGGCTTTCGTTTGAGATGTAATAAATTTAAACCTCTTTGAAACAGAATGAATGACCACAAAAAAGAAAAGAAAGTAGCATTTGTGATAACTGCCTTGTAAGTAATGATACATCTGCAGCTTTTTTTTTTTCTATGAAACTTCAAACAATTTTCTTCAGTTCTTAAATATAGGAAGTGTTGTTTGTTTAACAAGTGGTAGCAACACTTACAGGATATTTATTTTCCAAAAACTTACGGTTTTGGAAAAAAAAAAATCCAATTTTGCTTGTTTGGAGAAATGTTACTATCAATTACAAGTGTAATTCAGTATCAGCATTTCTGCTGAGGAGGAGTAGGTAGCATGAGAAACTTTTCAGTTTTAGGGGAAGAGCTGTAATAGTGAATTTGTGGCAAAATCCTATGCTGGTAACAGCTGGTAGGTATTCATAACAAGCTCTACATCCATCCTCCCACCATTTCTGGTTTTGTGTTAATCTGGTACCAAATCACAAAGGTAAACATACTTTTCTGTCTATTGCTTGTGGTTTTGCTTGTTCTTCAGACTTCAGTTAGCTAATTTTTGTCCATGAATCAGATATTTCCTAGCTAGAACACTTCTTTGGGATGGGTACATCTGTGTTGCCCTAATTTTGACCAGCATTATGGATGTCTGATTGGGGCAGGGAAGCAATAAAGGCAGGCTATATAGCTATACTGACTTCTGTTCTTTTGTAAGAATTGTTAAAATTCTTTGGTCAGAATTAGTGGAAAATGTTACTATTGTTCTTAGTTTAATAGTGTTATGGCCATTTTTATCATGGATAAAGAGGATTTTCAAGTGTGTGGGTTTTTTTTGTTCTTGCCTTTTGTGTGGAAAAATAAAGGCTTTAAGCTTTGAAACCTTAAGACTCTATGGACCTACTGATGAATCAGGATCAAACAAATGAAATCTCAACAGGTTTTAGGGGGAGAGCTATGTTTTTTGCTTGGTTCAAAGAATTAATATCTATAACTTCAGTATATAATGGTTCTGATAAAGGAGGAGTTTTAGATTCAGTGCAGCTGCTTTTCATCAGTTGTAGAGAGACATAAGCAACCATACCCTGAAATTTTCACAGGCATCCTTTATAACTCGTGAAGACTAGACTTGGTATTTCTGATTCATGAGAGGGGGAAATAAACAGTGAAAAGTCATTGCCATTTTTAAGGCTTCTTTATATATTATAAAATATAATGAAGTCATTATTTTACTGAAAATACTATGGAAAAAGAATGTAATGCTCATTCATACTGTAGGGCTTACCAAAAGTTAAGTGGCCATATTGAAGTGTTCTTATCAAAGGAGAAAAATCCTGCAAACATTCAGGATATGCAATATTTTATCTTTTAATGCATGTGATCGCTTTCTTGTTTTACTGACAGAATCAGGCCTGTGTTTTTCTTGCATTTCTTTCTAAATCATAACTATCATAATGCATAATTGCATTTCTTTCTAAATCATAACCATCTAAATCATAAACCAGTCCTGGGTTTTTGTGGGGCAGAAGCTGTGTTTTTTCTGGGTTATCACATTCCCATTTAGAAGTTTTTGAACTGCCAAAAAGAAGGAGTTGCACTTTATCAGCATCTCTTTTGTGCTGTGCACACATGGCCCACTCAGGTTTGATATGTATGTGTCTCCTCTTCGTAGAGAACTGGTGGGAGCAATACTGTCCTTTACCTCCGTCTGAGATGATGTGTGCTTTGGTAGCTGAACAAATCTCTAACCTCAACTGGTCATTTGAAGCTTAAATTAGGCAATATGTACTTAGAAAATCTTCGGGAATTTAATGGGAGAATGGATGTATGAACAAGCCATTAGTTTTTTAAATCATAAAGTCATCTTTTTCTTCTTTTTCCCTGTATCACTACCAAAATGGTAGTATCTTTCCATGTTTTCTCTGTAGAGATTTGGTTAACTGTGGAGAAAGACCAAACAATTCTTTTGAGCTTTGAAAATGGGTGTATTGGTTAAAAGACGATTTTAAAAAAAAAAAAAAAAGGGCAGCTGGTGGTTAAAAAATTCTGGAAATGCATCCAGTTTTCCTATAAATAGTGTCAATACCTGCTTATTATGGAGTTAAGATATCATGGCATGCACCAAACTTGGGGGTTGGTGATACAATGGGGCCCGAGGGGTGCAGTGTAGACAGATTCAAATAGCCCTGCACAAGGTCAGCCCAGCGCTGTTTTGGTCCTGAGCTGGGGCTAGGTTCAGACAGGCTGGACCTGCAGAATGGATCAGATGCATCAGAGCAGGCCTTCCCAGAGATTTCTTTTGGTGCTAGTGTTGGTGGATTTTGTTTAGGGTTTGATTGGTTGTGGTGTTTTGTTTTTTTTTCTGGTAATGGATTGTGACCTAGACTTCAAGGTTAGTTCTGCGGTGTTTACTGGCTTGTTACCCTTTCCGCACAAATCACTAAACTAATGGTCCACCTGTATGGGTGCAGTATCACGATTCTAAACTCATCCCTTCAAAACTGCCTTTTGCCCTGTTACTCTTCAGTGCTGGCCTGGTGCCTACTTGCATAGCTGCCCTTTGTCACAGTGCAAAGGTGGGGAATTGATGGCACCCTGAATTCCCCCCTTGGCTTTCTCTGCTCTGCCCTCAACGAGGGGTTGGAGAGGAGCTGCTGTGTTTGTGATGCCAGTGAGAATCAGTGAGTCTCCAAGGAGGGCATGAACTGTGCAAAGGCAGAAAAAGGAAAGCAAAAGGTAACCAGCACTTACAATGCTACTTTATACTGAAGCTTCCACCGTGAAAGGAGGTTGTTTAGTGATAGGTAGACAGACATAGGGATGCTTTCTTGTGTTT